CTTTGAAAGGCTATTTCGAGCTGCTGGAAATAGCAATGCTATTTCAGTAGTTCAATGTTATTTTACCAGTTTTAATGATATTTTAACAGTTTTGATGTTATTTGAAGAGTTTTACTGTCATAAGAACAGCTAGTTTTAGTGATAATATAGATTGTTTTTAGATCACTTTTTACCATAGCTGAAGAGACTCGTAATGTTCATGCCTTAGTGAAGCTTGTGCGTAGGATTTAATGAAGCGTAAGTAGAGGGCGGCAGGCCGAGGTCGCAGCGGCGCAGGTCAGCGCCCAATCAGAGCCGGGCTGTCCTAATCCCCGCCAAATTGATTTTCCAGAGGAAAAAAAAACAGTGCTGGGAGACGCCTCCTAGCGCGGTGCTTCCTTTGATTGTGCTGAGCACGGCGACACTCTGAGCACTTGGTGAGCACCGCTGCCTTCTCTGAGCACTTGGTGAGCACCGCTGCCTTCTCTGAGCACTTGGTGAGCACCGCTGCCTTCTCTGAGCACTTGGTGAGCACCGCTGCCTATTGTGATGCTCTTTGTCCATTTCACAACGCGTTCATGAAAGCCAAATTTACATATGATATTGGATCTGCTCGTGGACTAAAAAATGATTTAGCAATTGTTGGACGCGTTCCATACAAGTGATATAACATTTAAATTTTAAATAGATACAAATGATATAACTGTAAAATGGACGCTTTCGATTCATACGATATAGCAATTAAAAGTTCACTTCTATACAAATGATATAACAGTTAAATGGACGCGTTCCATTCATACAATATAGCAATTCAAAGTTCACTTCTATACAAATGATATAATAGTTAAATGGACGCGTTCCATTCATACGATATAGCAATTAAAAGTTCACTTCCATACAAATGATATCAGTTAAATATACGCGTTCTATACAAATGATATAGCAGTTAAAGGTCGATCGCGTACGATTAATCCGATATAGCAATTAAAAGTTCGCTTCCATACAAATGATATATCATTTAGAAGTGAGCTAATGCGTGTGAGGGCTGCGTAGGGTTTGGATGATATTGCGCGGCCGCATTCATGGCGCCGAGCTGTGGCATAATGGCCACGGGGTGCCATAATGGCCACATATGGCTTATTATCATAGGACAACACTGGGACCTGCGCCTACACACTGTTGTCTGCTGCTAATACAGACCAGGCGAGGTCTGTATAGCATGCAGGGGAAACGTGGTCTGTAGGGTCTACATGTAGGCGAGGCATGCTACACTGTAGCGAGGCATGCTGTACTGTAGCGAGGCAATGCTGTACTGTAGCGAGGCATGCTGTACTGTAGCGATGCATGCTGTGCTGTAGCGAGGCATGCTGTACTGTAGCGAGTTACTGTAGCGAGGCATGCTGTACTGTAGCGAGGCATGCTGTACTGTAGCGAGGCAATAAAAAAATTGCAATAGACGATTTAGTTTCTTGTTCCGAACGAAGGTCACGAGTTTAGAGTGAAATATTCGTTGAACTCTGGTAAATATAATATAGATACGTTCTAATGATAATTCAATCTATCACATGATTATAATCTCGGTGAGAGATAGTTTAGTGGACATATACGGTATTATACGGATCCACCCGCATCGTATCTCCAATTGCTATGCTATACCGTTTAATCGACTGATTTTTGCTGTTAATTTGTAATGCAGTTATAATTATTGCTCATGTCTGCTCCTACATTAGGATTGCATCGCGGAAATGATTGGCTATATATAAGTTCTGTGCAATCTTGATGGCTCGTTGATCGCAATAAACACCTTCAAGTGAATGCATGAATCGATGAAAAAGGAACCACTTCGCTAGTTTAACCGTAGTTTGTTCACTGTTATTTTTATCAACAAATATACTGGCTAATTATAATTGGTTTTAATGATTTCTTTAATTCAGAACTGTAAGTTATGACGTATAAATGATTTAGAGTTGTGTATGAAGAAATGGAATTAAAAGTGAAAACTACTGCCTCCATCTAAAAAAAAGCTTTTAATTGTATCAGAAAATGAAATACTAATCAGCATTTCCTGTAATATCTAAAATTAGAAAGCTTCAAATTCTGTCAGAAAATGAAATGCTCATAAAAGTTTCTTCAGAGTAGAGTAATTTTACTTCTACTTCTCTCTTTTTCTGACTTCAAAATAAATTATTTTATCCTGATTCTAGGAGCGATAATTTAGTGATTATTTTAGAAACAGTGAGAATTGTTCATAAAAACCATATGTACAACGAACTTTCCACCTAATTCACAATTAAGTGGCCTTACTAATGACGTTGACGTCATCACGTTAAATTTGTATTTAAATAACACTGGTGTACAAATATTTCTAACGTTTACAAACATTTTTACAACTTTCCCTAGTTTCAATAATTGTTAATTAGGCTAATTTAAAACGTTATTTAAACAATACGTAGTAAATTTTCTGAATTCGGCGAAAGAAGAAACCTATACCACCACCTCTAAATGACACAGTTTCCAGTCAATTAAGCATTACAAGCCCGTGATTACTTTCAAGGATTATCGAGGATTATTATTTTTTATGGATTATTGAGGTGACGAAGCCCTCAAGATGACCTGCTCTCGAGGGGCTCGTAAAGAAACGTGTTACACGCCGCGGTATTCTGCTGCAGTTTGGGTTAACTGTAATGGCCCGGTGGAGGGCCGAGGGCAGCGAGCTGGGAGGGAAGAGGGAAGTGATGGCAGGGCAATGATGGCAGGGCAATGATGGCAGGGCAATGATGGCAGGGAGAGACACAGGGCAATGATGGTAGAGAGGGATAGAGGGCAATGATGGTAAATAGGGATAGATCGAGGGCTATGATGGCAGAGAGGGAAAGAAGGAAATGATGGCACGAGCACATGGCATGCAGGGAGCGACAGAGGGTAATGATAGGGATAGATAGAGGGAAATGATAGTAGGGATTGACAGATGGAAATGACGGTAGATAGGGACATAAGGAAATGATTGTTAATAGGAAAAGAAAGGTTCATTCCCCCGGTGGCAGAGGGGTATAGAAGGGAATGAGGACAAAGAGGTACAGAAGGCAATGATGGTGGAGAGGAACAGAAGGAAATGATGGAGAGAGGGTCAGAGGGCAATGATGACAGAGAGGCATAGTTAAAAATGATGTTTTGAGGGACAGAGAGCGATTGTGGCAAAGTTAATCGGCGATAAAAAATAACAAACCAAGAATCAGCAATGCAACCCAGAGAAACAGAAATGAAAGAGATGTGCAGAAGGCTTCGTCAATTTATTTCTTTACTACCACGCATCCGAGGGGATATCACAGCACTTGGATGAGGGACTGATCGAAAATATGACAATAGCGAATGAAAACCGGAACATTTTAGAACGTAACGAAAGGTCGAGTGATGTGCAGTGGTTTAATAAACGAAACAGTTAATTCGTCTGCACGGAACAGTTAACGTGCGACTGAGATGGGAATAGCAAGACAACCGATGAGGCTTTAGAAGATTAAGGATAAGAAGAAGAAGAGAGAACAAGAGGTTCATTTCAATAGATAAGTGACAAGAGACTGCGCAGATGGGAATAGCAGGAGACAATGAAAAGATCACAATTAAGATACATGCGTGAAAGTACTTGAAATATAAAAAAAACATAAATAAACAATACAAGTGGATTGCTTTGAAGAAAAACGATAAAAAATAGGGCAATCGCAAAAGATATAAAACAAGACTTCAGTTAATTTCGGTTAAAACGCACGCTAGATTTATTCGAAAAATAACCTGCATTTAGGCGAGAGAAATAACGAGGGGACCAGGAAGGGGTGTTGGATTACTTCATTCCCCCGACCTCGGTCTTTATGAGCCAGGGTGTCATGATGATAAACAACGTGTGAGTGCACCATCTGATTCCCATCGTCCATTGTATTTCAGCGGCATACCATTAATCAAGAGGAGGGTGTTGACTTAGCAGCGCTGACTGCGCTACCGCCGCATTCACGCGTGCCACAAAGGAAGGCCGCATCTTTAGCGGCGTGTAATTGTTCTCTTTGACACTGAAGAGCCCATCTAAAAATAACTTCCCTGCCCGTAACAATTGATCAGTACCCTCCGTCAACAAACCTGGGTGTGCTATAAATTAGATCTTGTGTGACGTATTGGTTCGATGAGATAACGAACGATGGTGCATCTGTTGTTGCTGAAATGGGTAGTCTGCTTCGGCGGCCACTGATTTCAGATAGACTTTTGGTTCGTTCTATTTATCGCTTTCAAATTATGGAGAAAATTACATAAAACTTGAATTACGAGTAATATTAGTCATCAGTTCACTATCTAATCAATATGACTTGTAATATTATGGAGTAATATTATAATACTATTAGTTATGGATGGAAATAAGTTTACCCGTTAAGATCACATGATTGATAAACTGTAGTGAGTTTACGAAGACTAGGAATATAATTTGTTATTACTGCTATTGGATGCGAAGTCGGTAATAACGTATTAGGTCGAGGAACGTCTTAGCATACTAACCTTTAATTAGACAGAGCCCTGAGATGGTTTAAAGTCAACAAGGAAGCAGCGATGCACTACGATGCCCTATGCCCCGACATGGGTGCTACAGCTCACAGCTCGCTATGTGGCTCCTTTTGACAACGCGAGGTTCAATAAAACCTTAGCCTGATCCCACAGATCTGTGCTTATAATCGTATAACCCGATTGTGGAGTGAAGAGATTACCGAGATACTGCTCTTTATATTGTCCATGCCCACTCACGAATTAATGGAACATTTATTACTAAAATTACACCAGAGAGAAACTGTCACTACAATCACAATTTCCATTATTTTGAGTGTGTTGGTCTATATATGGTCAAAATTTACCTGGCAACTCAGGTCACAATTATTTTTTCATGTTACTGACTATGGTGGAATGTAAAATTTTTTAATTTGAAAATATGATTCCAAATACGTGCCAATTGTTCAATCTATTAGATATCAGGTTAATAAAAGATGCAACAATGGAAGAGATTTGTTGTGAATTCATTACAGACCTCCACAGAAGGAGACTGAAGCCTTCTCAGCGAGGAAGACTTTTACAGACAACTTCACTACTAAAAATCAGAGACAAATAATGATCAGCACCCACGCACAGGTTAAAGGTTGGGCGACCTTTACGAAAAATAAGTTAAAATGACAAGAAAAGCGTCACGACTGGCGCCATGGCAATGTCTCACGTCTCTACCGGCAATGGCAAGACGTGAGCTAGTAACTTTTCAACGTAGCAGCCTGCTTTACTGTACAGTCAACGGCAAGAAATGCGCTACTTTGCAACGTCGCAGCCTGCTTTACTGTACAGTCAACGGCAAGAAATGAGCAACCTTGCAACGTAGCAGCCTGCCTTTTTGTACAGTCAGCGGTGAGGAAAGAGCAACTTTGCAACGCTACAACCTGCCCTACTGTACAGTCAGTGCCAAGGCAGGAGCAACTTTGCAACGTCGCAGCCTACCACACTGTACAGTCAGTGGGAATGCAGGAGCAGCTTTGCAACGTTGTAGCCGTCCTTACTGTACAATGTATAGTCAGTGGAGCCACATAGCAACGTGTGCCACATGTGCCACATGTGAGCAACTTGGCAACGTTCGCAACCTGCCTATGTTGTACAATAAACAGAAAGATAGATCTATAACCCAACATTGACATCACCAGTTTCAGTTTGTACAGTTTTTATATTTAATTGTAAGAATGAACATATTATTCAAACCCTTAAATAAGTCAAGACAACTGTACAGTTGTAAGAAAAGTTATCCTTTGGCACTTGTAGAATAATATGGGCCTTAGGCAGAGGTTATTTCAGAAAGAAAGAGACCCGTTTTTACATTGAATATATGTACATGAAATACGCTTCATACTCTGCATGGGTAAGGGAGTCTTTTATAATGATTTCTCTGACAAATCGGCAATTCAATGTATACTAGAAATGAAAGCCTATATTTGTAAAGAAAATATGAAAGTTGTAGCTGTAGCAATAAATTAATGGCTAGTTAATAATTCGATATGACTTATTCGTTATCCTCTTGAGTTAGCAAGAGGATGGCGAATATATCCTTTATATCCTCCTCTGTGCATATCCTACTTCAGTATTGTCAGCATGCACCGGCGGCCCAAAGGATTACGAATATTAAGCTCAGAATTATAATTATTGAATATTGCAATTTCAAACATTGGTAATAATTTAACATTTCATACTGCTTCACTAATAATTAATTCAATTATTTGTCGCCGGTATAAGTTATTTTCACTCTCAACACGGTATTGAAATCACTGCTTTCGGAATTTTTGAGCTCGTTATTAACATCACGTTTGGCGCGAATGGACCGTATGGGTTAATTTTTGCGAAAAAAAATAAAATTTCCGACTTATGACTTTCGTGGCTGTGACTCCCGTGACGCAATGGAAGTCATAATATCGATGGCTACCTTTGATTTATTGTTCACCGTAATAACATAGTGGCTGATTTAATTCCAATCAGTTTCAAAGCTTAAATTTTTTATAAAAGTTTACAATAAAATCAACAAAATAGAAAAAAAGCTTGCTTGGTAAATCTTAATAATCAGTTGTTTCACTACAATTTAATCATAAGTCAGTTACCTGACGGCATATATAGTAGCACTGCTAATTGCTTCAAAGTTCTACAAAACTTCAAACTTTGAACATTATGCCTGTAGAAGATAATTTCGAGATTTGGTTCGTTACAGGATTTAGGATTATATTAAAATGAATAACACGAGAGTTAGCAAGTCTTCCCCCTTATTCTATGGTTTTCAAACCATGGTTTTGGCTTTAAAACCCCGAAAGCCTTGCTATCGACTGCTAATCATGCACTTCTTTCATTAAAAATTGATTATTTTATATGCAAGAATTTTTTGTGCGTTTTCATGGGTTTGAGAGCAATAACGAATAAAAGAAATAAGTACAAAATTATATAGAATTTCATTAAATTTCATGCGCGAACAGATTACCTAAATCTCGATTCATTTACACTATTTTGAGCCGCGTTTAACTCAAACAAATACGAGCGGTAATTGATATTCATTCGATCTCTGAAGAAAGAAGATTTTTCCTGCTGCAGCACAACGAAGTGAGCCTAAAATAACATGATAGTTTACATACCATTCAATAACCGAGTGATTTTGGCGCGTTTTTACTATACCCATGCACTCTTGACGCCATTACTAACTAATAAAAGGACATTAATCATTTATCGGAATACGCAATACTTATATCATTTTTATATGTCGTTTTTTATTACTATTTAAACGAAAGCAACAACTTTTCAAAGACGCCCAATTTTAACTAAATTATATCAACCTTAACCGGTTCCATTCATAAGAGCGGTAACAATTTAAAACGTTTATCAATAATTTTTGGAGAGGTTTAATTTTTAGCCCATACCTTCTTCTGCTAATTGAAGAGTTCAAGATATAAAAATTATCATAATTTCGATCAGGGTATCAAAAGTCCATTAACTCTCATTCAAATTCTTTATTATTAATGCACCATTAAAGCGCTCAATACTGACTCATAGCACCAGAGTTTCATCTCAGACGATTTAATCGCCCGCACATCGGTCGTCTGCTCTAGTGTTAATCCTAGCAGGTAAACGACGCGGAAACAACGTTGATTACGAGTTGATATCGTTGAAACATAGACGCTAAATCAACGTTACTTCAACTTCAAATGCCTGATAGGAATAAATAATCTGTACAACACGAGTTATTTAATCAAAAAACTAGCATGATGCGAACTAAGAGCTAAAGTAGAGGCATAACACATCGGGTATAATACACTTATATTTACTCATTGATTCACTTTGCGCTCCGAAATTATTTACATTTTATTTCAAAATCTAAGCAGCGCGATGAATGAGTTTGCACATGAATGTGACGGCTAGAAGCGTCTTGTAAGATTAACATTTACTAATCCATGGATGAAATATGTGCACTAATGAATGACTTTCAATAGTATCGCGTATAAACTACACTTAGGTTTTTAGTTGATGACTTATTCACATGAGTTGGGAAAACTGTCCCGACTGATGTTTCAAAACTTGTGACCATTGCTGAAGTTCATGGATATTTTTCTTATGAAAATGAAATCAAAACACACGACTTCGTGATGCTAATTATATAGAATATTTATTCTGAACTATTCATGTCTTCCTTGAATCACTGCCAGCGGCCGATTATTAATAAAATAGAGTGAGTACTGGGATGATCAATCAAATAATATATGAAATAAAGCGAGAACAACAACGTGTGTACAGCGAAGCCAAGAGACCAGGGGCTGGACTTTCATACACGATTCAAAGGCGATCGTAAGCGCTGCGTTCGTCGTAAATTAGGGTTTTCCTTTTTGAGATTAGCGAATTCAGCCCGAGAAGTTTTTAGTGATTGGTTGAATGGGAATTACGATGTCGTAATTATTTCAAGAATCACACTTAGGAACAAGAAGCTCACAAAAATTTCTAACATTTTAAACTTTGAGTCAATCAAAGTTCAAAGACAAACTATGCATACCAATATCAAAAGAGAGACCCAAGCTAAACGATTTCGGACTTACGGACGCCGTCACAGTTCTTGAGAATCCGTACCATTGGAAGAGGAGCCTCGGGAATCAAAAAAGTTACGCTATTACGCTATTCATACATGAAAATTTATCCGAAGAAGGGGTGGAGGCCGGGAAGAAAGAGCTTGTGTTGTCCACGACAGAAGAAGAGCGAGAGTCTGGACCCGCTGTCGAGTATGTGAATGCTGGGGAATGGGACTTGGCCCTGAGCCTTAGGGACGCAATTGAGGAAGACATGGCCCCAGGCTGGTCCCGGTACATGTAGGGAGAAGTGGGTGCAGGATATGGGCAGGGGGTCCCACAGCTGCCCAGGGTAGACGACATGGACGTGGGCATGATGCCGCTGGAAGCGGTCTGGCCCGCAGTCTGGAAGCAGTTGATGGGCGTCATCGCAGAATGTTGTTGACTAATCAACGGGTTCATGTTGACGCTGTTGAAGCCCCAGGGCAGGTTCTTGGCGGCGATGGCTGGCGGGGTAACTTTAGCCCAGTTGTTGTAGGTGGAGTAGCCTGAGTACAAACCATCATCCCATGTGAAGCCGTTCAGTTGTGCCCCCCATCCTCCCTTCAGGTCCCCCGGCATGCCTGACGTCAGCACGTGGCGCTCCCTCTTGCGCCACTTCGCGCGCCGGTTTTTGAACCATATCTGCGACAGCAATAACAATATTTTCATAAAACCTTTGGTTAAAACCGAGAAAAAATATTTGGGTAGTTCTTTCTCAAGCAATCGAAATGGAAGCGCCACAAAATTGGTTAATTTGTTTCTTTACTGGATAATTTTTGGAACAAAAAGAGAAGTTATATTATTAACTATTCAAGCGTCATGGAGGTGAAAAACACGAGTGCCGGCGTAAACTATTAATGTAATAAATTTTTTTTTGTAATAAAACATGTAATAAAACATTTTATCATTTTGCAAGTTTTGAATGAAGAGGAAATTCGACATTTGAAGCATAAATACGGTGAAAATTGACGTGAAGTTCCTACAGAAAATAATTTTCCGGAACTCACCCTGACTTGAGCTTCCTTGAGACTCAGCCACAGCGAAATCTCCTCTCTGGCGCTGAGGTCGGGGTACCTGCGGGGGAACAAAGTGGCGGCGTTAGACAACTGGTGGCGGGGGAACAAGCGTACAAGATAACAAAACAATTCTGCGAACGATTATTAAGTTACTCAGATAACAGTTGTGATTCAGCAACAGGCGTACGCTGATGCATGTAACAGCTGATGAGATAAGGATACCAGAGCCGTCACTATACCTGCCAGAGCCGTCACTACTTGCCAGAGCCGTCACTACCTGCCAGAGCCGTCACTACCTGCCAGAGCCGTCACTACCTGCCAGAGCCGTAACTACCTGCCAGAGCTGTCACTACCTGCCAGAGCCGTCACTACCTGTCAGAGCCGTCACTATCTGCCAGAGCCGTCACTACCTGCCAGAGCCGTCACTACCTGCCAGAACCGTCACTTACAAATACCTTGTCATAAGGCATTTATAGAATGGAAATACCTTGTCATAGGGTATTTATAGAATACAAATGGCTTGTCATAGGGTATTTATAGAAAACAAATACCTTGTCATAAGGCATTTATAGAATACAAATACCTTGTCATAGGGTATTTAGAGAATACAAATTTATCAAAAAGTATTTATACACATAGAAGTATAGTAATAGTATTTACAGTATATGAATACCCTGAATAACAAAACAAATCCGCGAAATATTGTTAAAAGTTACCCAGGATGCAGTTAAGCTTTAGTAAATAAACTGTAATCGATTTGCAAACTACGTATATTGCAGACTGATGCACAGTATTGCAGACTGATGCACAGTATTGCAGACTGATGCACAGTATTGCAGACTGATGCACAGTATTGCAGACTGATGCACAGTATTGCAGACTGTGACTATAAATACACGTAGAGGCCTAAGTACACCCAGCGTATTACACCCAGCAGCCTAATCGTATCCTAATTACACCCAGCAGCCTAATTATACGCAGCAGCCTAAGTACACGTAGCGGGATATTTCTCGTCTGCGATTGGTGGGCTTCGCTGGGAAAGCCTTCAGTGATTGGCTGGCGGAGTTGCGAACTTATAAAATAAAAAAAAAAAATACGGCCCCAGGAATTGTGACATGACACTGACGTGTATCATTCAGTTGTCAGTGTATCATTCAGTTGTCAGTGTATCATTCAGTTGTCAGTGTATCATTCAGTTGTCAGTGTATCATTCAGTTGTCAGTGAATCATTTAGTTGTCAGTGTATCATTCAGTTGTCATCGTTCAGTTGTCAGTGTACGTGTCAGTTGTGACAGCTCAATCTTTTTGCTACGTCACGATATCAATTTTCGTACCGCATGACCTACGGGCAAATGTGCGAAGATTTATTGAACTTTGTACTTCTTTCGTTAATTAGAATTGAGGTGTTAATTTGAGTTAATTTGGGTATCTGCAAATTGCTTTTCAAATTAGGAAAGAAATTAAAATTGATTTGTTCGTGTTTTTAAATCGTGCGCGAGCACGCAATGATCCAGCTACTAAAATATGATATGTTAGACATCTATAAAATAAAAGTCGTAATAATTCATTTAATTCACTAAATTTTTTCCCTTAATTTTGGTATACCATTTCTATTTATTAGAATTTTAGAAATATAAATTTTCATTTTTATTTTTATTACTTACGGTGGCAGTTCCGTAATGTAAGTATGTCGGGACATACGCTGGAAAATTTCAGCAATGTAAGTGACCAATTTTGTGATGGGGTAAATTCTTTTTGATGATGGGACAAATTTTCTTCAGTGAAAGAGTAAATAATTTTTGGTGACGGATTACATCTTATTTGGTGATGTAATAAATATTTTCTGATGATGGGGTACTTCTGTTTTTTTGGTGATGGGGCAAATTCTTTTGGGCTTTTGGTAAATTTTGGCGAAGTCGTTCGCTCGATGACATATTTCGCCAAAAATTTATGGGCATAAATGCCATACCATTCCTAAACCGGGGTCTCGATTCAGATTAAGATAACGAAAAATATATTTTAACGTCTTCTTAAATCCTTCTTGCAGTAGTTTGGTCTAAAGTATTGAGATACTCAGAGTATATATGAATTTGTTCATTTTACATTATAATATGTCTAAGATATTTCATATTGCAGTGCAACGTATCAATTGTTGAATAAATCCTCTTCACTTTAACAGCTCCAAATTTACAGTACGACCAAAGCTGACTAAATTTAAAGTTACCCTGCCGAATTAAAAGTAATTATGCGGGGATTTATCATGCGGTCAAACGTGCAGGTTTAAATCTAAAATTAGACTGTGCGATATGAAAACTCTTTAAATGATATGGTTTACAAATGCTTGAATAAGTCTTGCCGAAATTTCCAATTTATCGAGCATACACTGAATGTTAGATATATTGGTGCGTTAGAATATTCAGAAAACGAAACGTAAATAACTTTTCGACCGTAATAAATTTTAACTAACAATATAATTTAAGATTTATGACATTATTGCATTACTAAAGTAACATAGAGAGAGCGCAAGACATGCACTGTTATCAGTGAATAAGCAAGTGTTAAGCTGTCTCATGTCCTGATTAGATACAAGTCTTATCTCTAGCATATCTTTTACTGAGAAACTGATGTGTTGACGAGTGAATTGAGCCTGCAACTGACCTGCAGTGCTACAAGCATTTACTCGACCATTTCTAAACAATTAAAAAAAAAGACACTCATCTAAAATCCACTCGACCATTCCTATAGCTAATGACCTCACCTATTTCTAGAGAAGGTGCCCTCACCTATTTCTAGAGAAGGTGCCCTCACCTATTTCTAGAGAAGGTGCCCTCACCTATTTCTAGAGAAGGTGCCCTCACCTATTTCTAGAGAAGGTGCCCTCACCTATTTCTAGAGAAGGTGCCCTCACCTATTTCTAGAGAAGGTGCCCTCACCTATTTCTAGAGAAGGTGCCCTCACCTATTTCTAGAGAAGGTGCCCTCACCTATTTCTAGAGAAGGTGCCCTCACCTATTTCTAGAGAAGGTGCCCTCACCTATTTCTAGAGAAGGTGCCCTCACCTATTTCTAGAGAAGGTGCCCTCACCTATTTCTAGAGAAGGTGCCCTCACCTATTTCTAGAGAAGGTGCCCTCACCTATTTCTAGAGAAGGTGCCCTCACCTATTTCTAGAGAAGGTGCCCTCACCTATTTCTAGAGAAGGTGCCCTCACCTATTTCTAGAGAAGGTGCCCTCACCTATTTCTAGAGAAGGTGCCCTCACCTATTTCTAGAGAAGGTGCCCTCACCTATTTCTAGAGAAGGTGCCCTCACCTATTTCTAGAGAAGGTGCCCTCACCTATTTCTAGAGAAGGTGCCCTCACCTATTTCTAGAGAAGGTGCCCTCACCTATTTCTAGAGAAGGTGCCCTCACCTATTTCTAGAGAAGGTGCCCTCACCTATTTCTAGAGAAGGTGCCCTCACCTATTTCTAGAGAAGGTGCCCTCACCTATTTCTAGAGAAGGTGCCCTCACCTATTTCTAGAGAAGGTGCCCTCACCTATTTCTAGAGAAGGTGCCCTCACCTATTTCTAGAGAAGGTGCCCTCACCTATTTCTAGAGAAGGTGCCCTCACCTATTTCTAGAGAAGGTGCCCTCACCTATTTCTAGAGAAGGTGCCCTCACCTATTTCTAGAGAAGGTGCCCTCACCTATTTCTAGAGAAGGTGCCCTCACCTATTTCTAGAGAAGGTGCCCTCACCTATTTCTAGAGAAGGTGCCCTCACCTATTTCTAGAGAAGGTGCCCTCACCTATTTCTAGAGAAGGTGCCCTCACCTATTTCTAGAGAAGGTGCCCTCACCTATTTCTAGAGAAGGTGCCCTCACCTATTTCTAGAGAAGGTGCCCTCACCTATTTCTAGAGAAGGTGCCCTCACCTATTTCTAGAGAAGGTGCCCTCACCTATTTCTAGAGAAGGTGCCCTCACCTATTTCTAGAGAAGGTGCCCTCACCTATTTCTAGAGAAGGTGCCCTCACCTATTTCTAGAGAAGGTGCCCTCACCTATTTCTAGAGAAGGTGCCCTCACCTATTTCTAGAGAAGGTGCCCTCACCTATTTCTAGAGAAGGTGCCCTCACCTATTTCTAGAGAAGGTGCCCTCACCTATTTCTAGAGAAGGTGCCCTCACCTANGACGGCGGTGATGAAGAGATGGACGGCAGTGATGAAGAGATGGACGGCAGTGATGAAGAGATGGACGGCAGTGATGAAGAGATGGACGGCAGTGATGAAGAGATGGACGGCGGTGATGAAGAGATGGACGGTTTATCTTTGAACCGCTTAAACGTATAAATACTTAATAATAGTTAATGCTTGAATAATTAAAAAAGAATTGAAATTCCATGGAAACGCAATTTTTGGACGGAAATGGATGGACGGAAAATGCCACACACGCCACACACGCCACACACGCCACACACGCCGCTCATACCACACATGCCACACACGCCACACATACCACACATGCCACACACGCCACACATGCCACACACGCCACACATGCCACAGAACGCACCAGCACGCCGGCCCCACTGCGTTACTTGTGGCAATTTGCTCGGCCAAATGGCGCGCGCGGCCACAATGCCGGCGGAAGTTGGCCAGAATTAACGGTTCCATTACAGGGCTGGCCTAAGTGGCCAATAAATGGTCAGTTGTGACCACCCGCAGCGGCCTCGTCCATCACTCGATGGCTCGTGTACAAGTTAAACAGCAAAAGATTAATAATGCGATCGGATTTTAGGGGAATTTTCTGGCTTCCTGCGCTCGCTCCAACAGCCGGGACATTTCCTTGTTATTATCTGCATGGGGGGCAGTTAGGCGACCATGTTATTTACAGATTTACTGATAAACTAATTAAGTTATATGTTTAATTATATAGTTCAATTATTGCTAATTTAATTTTGTTGTCGTGGTGGTTAGACGTATAATCTTGTGATACTTTTTACGGGTAAAATGATGACCTTCAGTTTAATCAAAGATAATTAATCTATTTATATTTAATTTTTTGAAGCAAACTAATTAAATTAAGGTAATAACATATTCAGTGAATAAAATTCCCTTCAAATCAAGGACAGATGAGTAATGATATGTAAGTTTAAGCATATGTAGTGAAAGAAGGAAAGAATCGAATAAAACTTACAAAATAATTACAATTCCAGTGCCTAAATTATCAGTTACACTAATTTATAAAAGTTTTGATATATTAAATGTAAGTATTTTAGAATATATTAAATTCTGAACATCAATCTGTGCGTACGCACTCCCGAACCTCGCATGATAGTAAAATTTCCAACAGTTGTTCATTCACTACACTAGCTTTTAATGCCTTATTAGCATACACTCGCTTTTAATGCCTTAAAAGTATATGCAAATCTAAACTCTTTATTCCAAGTTCATGAGTGCAGGAAGAAATTGCTGCATAAAGTAAAATTAAAAAATTAAATTAAGATTAAGAATTAAAACTTCAATATCAAGAAAAATGTTATGACAACATGAGCGCAACAATGTTTATTTTAAATCACTGTGACCAGAAATTGTAAAAAATTGTTTCATCATCCTAATGGCATCATCTGAAGAACATTATTTCAAATATTCTGAATTAATAAGTAACTTCAGCAATGCTTGTAGGTTCGTAATGTTCATCGCCAATATTGGCTATAGAAATTAATCCCGACACAATAACGACTACAATGAAGTCATCGGGATATAACTAGCATGAGACAGGAGGCATGAGGCAGGAGGCAGGAGGCAGGAGGCAGGAGGCAGGAGGCACGGGTCAAGATTGGCAAGAGGCAGGAGGCACGTGGCAAAAGGCACGATCGAGGCAGGAGGCAGGAGGCAGGAGGCAGGAGGCACGGGTCAAGATTGGCAAGAGGCAGGAGGCACGTGGCAAAAGGCACGATCGAGGCAGGAGGCAGGAGGCAGGAGGCAGGAGGCACGGGTCAAGATTGGCAGGAGGCAGGAGGCACGCGCTGTTAAGCGTTTCATTTCACGGAGCTTACGAAATCAGCGCGCGTTTATAGACTGAGGCCCAGTGAGCGCAGTTAGACTGAGGCGCAGTGAGCGCAGTTAGACTGAGGCGCAGTGAGCGCAGTTAGACTGAGGCGCAGTGAGCGCAGTTAGACTGGGCGCAGTGAGCGCAGTTAGACTGAGGCGCAGTGAGCGCAGTTAGACTGAGGCGCAGTGAGCGCAGATATACGCATTACAGAGCAGATGTAATACAGATGTTTTATTACAGATGTTTTATTACAGATGTTTTATTACAGATGTTTTATTACAGATGTTTTATTACAGATGTTTTATTACAGATGTTTTATTACAGATGTTTTATTACAGATGTTTTATTACAGATGTTTTATTACAGATGTTTTATTACAGATGTTTTATTACAGATGTTTTATTACAGATGTTTTATTACAGATGTTTTATTACAGATGTTTTATTACAGATGTTTTATTACAGATGTTTTATTACAGATGTTTTATTACAGATGTTTTATTACAGATGTTTTATTACAGATGTTTTATTACAGATGTTTTATTACAGATGTTTTATTACAGATGTTTTATTACAGATGTTTTATTACAGATGTTTTATTACAGATGTTTTATTACAGATGTTTTATTACAGATGTTTTATTACAGATGTTTTATTACAGATGTTTTATTACAGATGTTTTATTACAGATGTTTTATTACAGATGTTTTATTACAGATGTTTTATTACAGATGTTTTATTACAGATGTTTTATTACAGATGTTTTATTACAGATGTTTTATTACAGATGTTTTATTACAGATGTTTTATTACAGATGTTTTATTACAGATGTTTTATTACAGATGTTTTATTACAGATGTTTTATTACAGATGTTTTATTACAGATGTTTTATTACAGATGTTTTATTACAGATGTTTTATTACAGATGTTTTATTACAGATGTTTTATTACAGATGTTTTATTACAGATGTTTTATTACAGATGTTTTATTACAGATGTTTTATTACAGATGTTTTATTACAGTTGTTTATAACATAAAAGTCGCACTAAGCGCTGGCGTTACACGCGACGTTACGCCGCGGCAGGCAATAGGAGCGCGACTAACGCGTGACGCGTGACGCGCGTCGGCGACGTGACGTCTCAATCACGCGGCGTCGTGCGCTTCATCTCACGCTTCACGCGCTTCATTAACTCAATCAGTTAACTCGGTCGTAAAATGAAGCGTTCGGCTCTCAGCGAGCAGCAATAGTGAGCGATAAGATCATTATTGTCATTATCCGCGTGATAGTGATGTTTATGGAGCAATGGTGCAGGATAACATCATTATTGTCATTATCCGAGTGATAGTGATGTTTATGGAGCAATGGTGCAGGATAACATCATTATTGTCATTATCCGAGTGATAGTGATGTTTATGGAGCAATGGTGCAGGATAACATCATTATTGTCATTATCCGAGTGATAGTGATGTTTGTGGAGCAATAGTGCGGGATGGGGGATGGTGATGTGGAACATTTGCCCTAAGTGTGGCGTGTAAAATCGTTACTCATGGGCTACAAGAAAAGAATATTTATTGTGATATTCACGCCACAAAACTGCCATTGTGTGCGTGCAAAATAGAACAAAAATTGAATTTGCACACAAAATTTTTTGAAATAAAGATGGATTCTTCATTGACTTGCTATATTTTTATTCTTATCTATTAAAACTCAGGAAATACGCCCATGCGGTAGGTAGTTATAGTCACTTTAACAATTTGCAATTATCGAAATTAATAATTGTAAAGGACGAACAAAGGCTGCACTTAGTTAGCCACTTTACCGATTTGCAATTAATTAGAAATTAATAATTGTAAAGAGTGTGTGTGTGAACAAAGCCGAGCATCATCATCATCATCATCAGCAGCAGCAGCAGCAGCAGCAGCAGCTCATTCATTATGTATGTACTCAATTTCAGTATAATTTTATATTCAGTATATATATAGTAGGTGTTCTATCGCAACCATCATTATGTGTATAGATATTCACACTACATATATGCTGTATAGCAATACACTTGTCCAACTTGTCATCACACTTCACACGCATATGACAGACACGTTCTTTCATATCACGGGCACAGTCTTTCTTCTATATCGCGAATCTCTTCATCTACTCATTGCTCTCTTCATCTACTCATTGCTCTCTTCATCTACTCATTGCTCTCTTCATCTACTCATTGATCTCTTCATCTACTCATTGCTCTCTTCATCTACTC